ATTTATATTTATTTATTTATTTAGTTCCATATAAACCTTTCAAATTTACAGTGAGTGACACAGTGACAGTAATATAAAAGTTGACATCAATGACCCATTAATTTTCAACTAATATAGTTGAACAATTCTCATTTTACATTTATTTAAATCTTTCTTATACTCCATTGTAGGAAACGATAGACAAGTAGACCGCAATAAGTCAAAGGAGGTCCTACAAGGTGACCCACGAAGGCCGAATCGAGTCGCGCACGGCTCGGTTTCGATCCCTACTCGGCACTGAGCTGGCTCGGCCCAAGACCGAGCCCATTCTTCCTCCTCCCCAGTTGCTGAAGACGTCCTGGCCCATAGACCCACACGTATCACGACCCAGTGAGCCCGACTATCGTGAGATGACCTAGGGTTAGTTTTCGTGAAATCCTAAGGGGAAGATCAACCATAAATATGAGGGGAGTCAACCATTGAAGGTAAGCTGAAACACATGCTAGGTATCCTTAGCTTGCTTAGTTATTCTCCCATAGTTAACTTAGGCATTGGAGTTCGTGTGACAGTAGTCACACCGATTTAGGGTACTCGATTTTACAAGTATTCGGTCCCTTGGTCATTAAGTTTTTACAAGTATTCGGTCCCTTGGTCATTGAGTTTGGTGCGCATTTTGGAGAGGATCAGATAGACGAAAATCTAGGCATCAACCTACTCTATAACAAATTTCCAACTAGGTCATTAAGGGATCAAGTCAATAAATGTTGTTCTATATTATTCTTCCACATTTGCAGATAGATATTGATATTCTAAAACATAGACTCAGATTTTACATGACTTAGTAAGTAATAAACAAAAAACTCAAATTTAAACTTTTATCTTTATCATATATATATATATATATATATATATATATATATATATAACACAACTATTAGGACGATTTTGTAGCGTTCATATTCATTGTTTCTAGTTTGTCGTCCCTTATTTTTTAATTAAAATAATAGAATTACGTTTCACAATTGTTTCTTTATTTTTTAATAAAAAATAAAACAGGAACATGTTTCATACTTATATGAAATTATTGTTCTTTCATTCTTTGAAAATTTGGATTATAAAAGTAAAAATTTTATATGAAATTATTTTCAAATTTAATACTTTTACGTTATTTTTATTTTTTTAAATTTTATTATCCATTTTAAAGTTAAAAAAAATTGATAAAGAAAAACTGGTGCATAATTTTAGAAATATTTCTTAAAAATAAGAAATAAAAAACATGAATAGTTATCTAATATTTATATTATTTAAAAATTAAAAAAGAAAAAATAATAAATACGTTATTAAAGCTTAGTCTTCATTTTTAATGAATAAGAAAATTTAAAAACTTAATTATATAATATGCTAGAAAGGAAAGAAAACAGAGGAAACTCATAATTGCAGCACATTGCTATCCAAAAGCAGTACACGGAAAATCTGCAAATAATAAATAATTAAAGTTGGGCCACTCGCAAATCACCACTGGCCCATTAAAGGCCCAATAATAATGCTACTCTATAATACCTAAATAATCAGTGGATATTTATTTTTCTTAATTCCGCGTCAGATTGGTGGGAGGGAATCTAAAATATCGGGGCGTGTCCCACACGCGCTCCAGGGACGTGGGTTAAAAAAGGTTAAAAAAAAAAAGAGGAATGACGTAGAAGCACGGGCAGGTGGAAAAGCGCCACGGAAGCTGAGACGGGCAGCGGGCAGCACTGTACGCCGTCTTCACAAGGGTTAAAAATAAAAAAGAGGAGCGAAATGAAATTTCGATACCGGAGGCGGAGGGTCGGTGTGCGAGGCTGAGGTCCGGGTTAGGCTCGGATGTCACAGATGCCTCACGAAAAAGCCAAGCCAGCATCGAAAATAATGTACCAAAGCAAACACTGAGAGAGAGAGAGAGAGAGAGAGAGATAAGAGAGAGATAAGAGAGAGAGTAGAGAGAGAGAGAGTGAATTCTAGAGAGAGAAAGTTTGGTAGTGAGAGAGAGAGAGGGAAAGGGATGGGTCAGATCGTGAAGAGGAAGAAGAAAGGGAGGCCATCGAAGGCAGATCTGGCACGGCGGTCCTGCGGGGCACTGGCATCGTCGGAATCTGAGCCGCGGCGGAGTCTCCGGCGCCGGAATGTGAGGTACAACATCGATTACGACGACTTTCTCCAGGAAGACGAGGAGGAGGAGGAGGAGGAGGAGGACGAGAGGAGGAGGGAGAAGAAGCTCAAGCTGGTGGTGAAGCTGAACCAGGGCAGGGACGGAGGGCATCCGTCTCCGGTGGCCGGACTGCTCGCTAGGTCAGGGCCGCGTGGAGCTCACGCGCCGGAGTACGCCTCTTCGGCTTCGGAAGGGGAAGATGAGCCCGAGGGGAAGCCATTGAAGAAGAGGAGGATTGGCGGCGCTGAAGTAGACGATGAAGATGATGACTACGACGATCAAATTCGCGGAGATGAAAATGAAGACGACGACATTGATGAGGTACTTTAACATAAAACTGCTGTGGATCTGATGGGAAGAGAGAAACAGAGAGAGATTAGGGATTGATGAACAAACAAGAGGAGAAGAGAGACTGAGCCTGAGAACAGAGTGGGATTTGGGATTTGGGATTTTGGAAGTGCATACTTTTAACAGAGAGGGAGAGGGAGGGGAGTGTCCAGCTCAGCTGAGATCACTCAGATTTTTATGCAATTGGTCCAGACTTCAAAATTACTCTTACCCCATTTCAATTTCTCTAATTTCCGTTTCACTTTCTCTCTCTCTAGCTCTTTATTTCTCTCTCTGTGTGCTAGGAATGTGTCGGGGATTTGAGAGGTATTAAGGATTTTGAGGTCAACTGTCAAAAACTAACACCCCTATAGAATCTGATCACGCTCTCCCACCTTTCTCTCTCCACCCTTCACTCACTCACTCTCTCTCTCTCTTTCTCTCTCTCTCTCTCTCTCTCTCTCTCTCTCTTTCCATGTTGTCTGCCTTATCTGTCTCTGTCTCTGTCTGGGTCTCTTTCTAACACCCGTTTCATCACTCGTGTGCTGTATGTATGCGAATTTGTGAGTTTGTTTATATGCTTTTTGTTTGACACAATGGATTTTGACAGGAAAGGGGGAGGAAGGTGGGCTCAAAAGGGTCCGACTCTGCTCCAGGTTTGTGTTCTTTTCAAATGTATTCGTGATTCTAGTTTGTGGGTTTATTCCAATTGTTTCTTTTTTTGATCTTTGAACTGTGTATATGAATGGCTCTGTCTGATGTGTGATGTTTGTTTGATCAGGGACGCCCTCGGATCGATCATCCGGGATACCATTACCTGATAAGAAAACATTGGAGTTGCTCCTTGACAAACTTCAGAAGTACGGGGGGAATTGAATCTCTTCCTCTTTTGGGTTTTATAATGATGTGAATTCCAACTTTCTAGAATTAACATCTGAAATGGTGGCAGGAAGGATACGTATGGTGTGTATGCTGAACCAGTTGAACCTGAAGAGGTCTGCAAATTTTCCTCTCCCCTAAGTGGTTGTTTCAGCGTTCCTCAGCATCCAAATTTGAAATAATGTTTCTTGTTGTAGCTTCCTGACTATTTCGATGTCATTGACCATCCTATGGACTTTGCTACCGTGAGGAATAAGTTGGCCAGCGGATCATATTCGACTTTGGAACAGTTTGAGGTGGGTGTCCAATTCTTTGGTTGAAGATTTTTTCTTCTACTTGCATGTGGCTTTGGGGTTATCCATTTGCTGAGTTTTGGGAGCGAAAACCTGTCCTGGCTTTTCCTAGCTCTTGATGATCCAACGGTCAATAAACTGTGGAATGTAGCGTAATTGGGGGCTGACTTAGCGACAAACATGGTGCCAGATTCATCCATTCAGTGGATTTGTTAATGTGCCTGACA